GCAGAGCCAGAGAGACAAGAGAACACACTGGCCTGGGAAGGGGGCTTGGAGCTTGTGCCAGGCCAGGGACAGAGTGGAGCCTCCATGAGTAGGGGGCGACTGCCCTGAGAGCCTTGATTAGCAGATTCTGAGCTGGCAGTCAGGTCGGAGGGGCCCCACCCTTTGCTGTTGGAGAACACAGCCAGGGCTAGCTCCCTGACCTCAGCAGCTCCCCTGGGGCAGGGCCAGGCAACTGAGCCATGAGGGGTGGTGTGGGAGGGCCACCAGGGTGACACTTAAAGGCAAGGGCTGGCCCTGGGCAGAGGCACGGTGAGCCAGCCAAAGGCCTTGCCTGAGGAGCCTGTGGCCCTAACTTGTGTGCAGGTAGCAGAGGCAGCAGGCCGTGCCGGGGGGGCATGTTGCTGTAACCAGTGGCCCAGGGGATGTTACGGTGGACAGTGCACCTGGAGGGCGGGCCCCGCAGGGTGAACCATGCTGCTGTGGCTGTCGGGCACCGGGTATACTCCTTTGGGGGTTACTGCTCTGGTGAAGACTATGAGACACTACGTCAGATTGATGTGCACATTTTCAATGCAGGTAAGCTAATGCTGAGACCATCCTTAGGTGCCTGTCAGGGAGGGGAACGGGCGGCTGAATGAGGTTTGGTGGTGGTCTCGGTGGCCATAGGGGATGGGGGAATGGATATCTGGTTTGGGAGAAGGTGGACAGCCTCTAGAGATGTTCCCAGGGCTGAGCAGAGTTGTGCCCACAGTGTCACTGCGTTGGACAAAGCTGCCCCCGGTGAGACCCGCCATCCGTGGGCAGGCTCCCGTGGTACCCTACATGCGATATGGACATTCAACCGTCCTCATCGACGACACAGTCTTCCTTTGGGGCGGGCGGAATGACACTGAAGGGGCCTGCAATGTGCTCTATGCCTTTGACGTCAGTGAGTATGAGTCTCAGAGAGGCTGTGTTCTGCCAAAGGTGCTTCAGGGGACTGGGAATGGTGTGGTCCGAGGGGTCTGGGAATAGGGCACCCCGGAGTCTAGGAGGGAATGTCAGAGGTTGCTTACCTGGCCCATTCTCTCACCTCCTTCAGATACTCACAAGTGGTCCACACCCCGAGTATCAGGAATAGTTCCTGGGGCACGGGACGGACATTCAGCTTGTGTCCTGGGCAAGACCATGTACATTTTCGGGGGCTACGAGCAGCTGGTAGGTCTAGGAAGAAACTAAAGGTTTAGGGTGGGAATGAGAAAGAGGAAGGGGAATTGAGGGTGGTGAAATGGGAGGCTTTGGCTTGTTGGCAGGTTTTGAGGGGAGGGATGGAGGGTCAGAGTGTGACCACTGATCCCCTCTTTTATTCCTTCCTCCACTTCCTTCCCTTTCTCTTCCCACTCAGGCGGACTGCTTTTCCAATGACATTCACAAGCTGGATACCAGCACCATGACATGGACCCTTATCTGTACAAAGGTCTGCCTTTTCTTCTTTCTTCCAGATCCCCACCCTCAACTGAAGAAACCATAGGAAGTTCAAAATGAGAGCAGATCCCCTCCCAGCCTCCATGCTGACGCCCTCCCTGTCATCTCTCTGCTTCTGCCCAGGGTAACCCTGCACGCTGGAGGGACTTCCACTCAGCCACAATGCTGGGCAGTCACATGTATGTCTTTGGGGGCCGTGCTGACCGCTTTGGGCCATTCCATTCCAACAATGAGATTTACTGCAACCGCATCCGCGTCTTTGACACCAGGACCGAGGCCTGGCTGGACTGTCCGCCCACTCCAGTGCTGCCTGAGGGACGCCGGAGCCACTCAGCCTGTGAGTGTCTGTTATATCCCTGTAGAGTCCCCGTTCCTGCCCATTGTCCTCACTCTTGACATTCCTTTCTCCTTGCAGTTGGCTACAACGGGGAGCTATACATCTTTGGTGGTTATAATGCAAGGCTGAACCGGCACTTCCATGACCTCTGGAAGTTTAACCCTGGTAAAGAGCACTGCCTTTAGGGAAAAAACAAGGAGCAGTTAAGGGGGGAGGAAAGAAAAGAATCCTGAGTAGGTAGGGGGAGGCAAGGGGAGGGGATATCCAGACTGGGCAGGTATTGAACCTCCATATAAACTTCTCTTTAGTGTCCTTTACCTGGAAAAAGATTGAACCGAAGGGGAAGGGGCCATGTCCCCGCCGGCGCCAGTGCTGCTGTATTGTTGGTGACAAGATTGTCCTCTTTGGGGGTACCAGGTTCGGAGGAGAGGGGAGGGCTCAGGGAAAGGCCTAAGTCTTTGACTAACACGGGAGCTATTTGAGCAAGAGGCTCTCATGAGGAGTCTTTCCTCCTTCCTTGATCTCTTTTTTGATCCCTACAGTCCGTCTCCTGAGGAAGGCCTGGGAGATGAATTTGACCTCATAGATCATTCTGACTTACACATTTTGGACTTTAGTAAGTATACTTTTTCCCAAAGTGCTCCTGCCGTCAGGGTCCTTGTCTTTGGATGGGGACATCCAGGACTGGACACTATTCACGGCTTTGACCATCTCCCTCACCCCTCTCCTCCTTTCAAGGTCCTAGTCTGAAGACTCTGTGCAAACTGGCTGTGATTCAGTATAACCTGGACCAGTCCTGTTTGCCCCATGACATCAGGTACAGTGAGTGGTTGGAAAGGAGGGATTGGTTGAGGGTGAGTGGGCAGCACAGGCAGGACCTGATTAGCCTGGTCTCAGTTTGGAGGAGACAGAAGTTTTTGTTCTGCTGGAGATATCATGTACTTGTGGAGAATAAGATGGAAGGAGATACAAAACTGTCAGCTGGGTGAATTAAATGAAAAATAAAATCCAGTTTTTTAAAACAAGCTCAGGGCTGGCCCCGTGCCTTAGTGGTTAAGTGTGCGCACTCCGCTGCTGGCGGCCCGGGTTTGGATCCTGCGCGCCCACCGACGCACCGCTTCTCCGGCCATGCTGAGGCCGTGTCCCACATACAGCAACTAGAAGGATGTGCAGCTATGACATACAACTATCTACTGGGGCTTTGGGGGAAAAAAATAATAATAAAATTATTTTAAAAAAAAAACAAGCTCAGAAGCATCAGTGCCTAAAACCTGAGCCTAAATGGTTGTTTTTGTTAACGTGCTGAGAAAGTTTGATTAAATCTTAGAACCTAGCTTCAAAGTAAAGACGAGTTTAGGAGCCTCTGGATCATATTAGTTCCAGAATCAAAGGGCGGTTCTTCCTAGCTACTTCCCTTTGAATTCCATTCTTAGGTCCAAATCAAGCACAGAAAGTTACTTTGTGTATAATAATTTTGTGTTATTTTATATATTTTGTGTATTTTGTGCTCTTCTGGGTCATTCTGTGACACTTCCCTCTCCTTGTATCAGTTCAGCTTAACTCTTCCTTGCTGAGGGTCTGTGTGTTCAGTGTTTGGTGACATACAGTGTACAAGGCTGAACTGATGGATCCTAGGCTGGCCCAGGATTGACACATGTGCAAGTACCTAGTACCAAACAGACTGTACTGAGGGTCTTGGCATAAGGTGATACTTAGTAAATCTTTGTAGAATGACATAATTGTCAAAAAGAGAAGGATTTAATTTTAGTATGGTGGATGGGTGGGGAAGGCCTTAGGGAAGATAGGAGAGCGGAGACAGGGCCTTAAAGGGATGGGAGTTGAGAGCAAAAATGAGCATTCCTGGTGGGGGAGGAGGTGGAGGGGCTGCCTGGTTGGGTCTGAGCAGAGGAAAGGTAGGTTGGGAAGTTTATTGAGATGTGTACACAGATGCTTTTCTCTAGGTGTTGGGCACAAGAATATATAGATAAACAAAAACAGAAAGTCCACCTGAGCTTGTGGTGGAGGAGTGGGTGGTATTGGATATGGTGGTGGGTGGGGCCTGATTGTAAGGCTGTAAGGAAGAGGTAGGTGGCTGTGGGTGGTTGAGCTATAGGAAGTTGGAGGGACTGGTGTGTTCATAGCTTTGTTCCAGCAATTCTGGGCTTGGGGGTGGAGGCTCCCCCTTCTGTTCTCTCTGCCTGTCACTGTTGGCCTTCCAGGTGGGAGCTGAATGCCATGACCACCAACAGCAATATCAGCCGCCCCATTGTCTCCTCCCATGGGTAGGAGGACGGTTCTGCTGCTTCCCTTCCTGAGCCTGCTGTTGTCTTCACTACCCCTGCCAATCTCAACCTGCCTGCCCCTTTGGACCCTGGACTCGGTATACCTCCACGTGGAGTTGTTGGACTAGCGGTCTTTTCTGTGCTGTGAACTCAGTGGGGAGCTGTAGGCGGGGAGGGCTAGGTTCCTCCTCCCTTGGGCCGAGGGCCCCTTCCCCTTGGTGCTCTGTCCTATCCACTTCCTTCCAACTGCTCCTGGGCTTCTGCTCTGCCCCAGGCCAGCCAAGCTCTGCTGGGAAGTGAAGGCAATGGGGAGAAGGGAGAAGCAAGCAGTGTCTGAGCCTTAGGAGCTTCCCCCTACCCCTATTTCCACCTCTCCCCCTGCTTGAGCCCGGAGCATTGATTGGGAGCTGAGAGGATTTGCAGCTGTTGGCATGAAACCTCCTTCTCCCTGACCTGGGGAGGCGAGGACCAGCAGATGATCCCTCCCTTCCCTGAGCTGTTGCTGTACCCTGACGCTCTCAGCCAGCTCGGATTTTATAAAAATGAATTAAAAACCTCTAAACGTGTGATCTGTTTTTGTGGAATGCGATGGGGATGGCAGGGACTTCCGAAGAGGGCAGGGTGCTAAGGCTCAGGCTTCTCAGCCAAGAGCAGTAGGAAACCAAATGCCAGGGCGGCCTGGCTCTAGTTTCTGTTCGGCGCGGACTCCCGCGCCATGCAACAAAACGGCGGCAGCCTTATCTCTACTGGCCGCCCTTTTCCGCCTAAGGCTTCCGGCCGCCCACCGGCGGTCGGCGCATCCCGCTCTTGCATCGTCACGTGGTGCAGACTCCGCCTCCGGAGCCGCCGGAAGAGGCGGGGCTGCCGCCGCTGCGGCGGAAGTGTCGCCATTTATCTTCGCCGCGCCATAGGAGCCAATGCCGAGAGTCAGCGCTCGCTCTGGGGCAGCTGCCGGGTCTCCGCGCGGGGCACAGGATGGCAGGGAGGACTGCGGGGCCCTGGGGCCCGGGGACCTGCGGAAGGGTGAGGGCATGGCGCCGGGGGCCGGGGAGCTCATCGTCCGGTGCGGGCTCCGAACCTGCAGTTAGCGTGAGACTGCGAAGTTCTCTGAAAGAGTTAAACATGGGGAGCACCCCCCAACGCGATGGAAAGTGAGGAGGGAGAAGGGGTGCTTCCTGGATTAGCACATCCTGAGCAGTTTCTTAAAGAGAGGGTGAGGGTTTTCCGCAGGGAGGAAACGCTTATGCAAAAGCCCAGAGTTAGGAAAGGGCATGGGTTGCTGAGGAAGGGTTAGTAGGTCAGGATTCAACAAATTTCGCAAACATTTATCGAGCATGGCTGTATGTATGTAGGCGCAGTTCTAGATCTGGAGATGCCCTAGTGAATAAAGCAGTGGAAAACTTGTCCGCATGGAGCTTACCTTTCAGAAAAGGCAGTAAAAAAAGAAACAAGTAAATTAATATATTAAAAGGCAATAAAGCACAGAATTGTATATTTTTAAAGGGTGAGTGTTATGGTATACAAATTATATCAGTTTTTCAAAAAGGTGATAAGGGCTATGGAAAGAAAGAAAGCAGGAGAGGGCTTGCAATTTTAAGTAATCAGAGAAGCCCTTACTGAGAGGTGACATTTGAGCAAGGGTTTGAAAGAGGTGAGGGAGCAAGCAATAAGTATATCTGGAGGAAATTTCCAAACAGAGGCAGCATCAAGTGCAAAGGAACTGAAGTGGGAATATACTTGCCTGCTTAGGAACTGCTAGGAGGCCAGTTGGCTGGAGAAGAGTGAGAAGGGGATTAGTAGGAGATGAGAGTAGAGACAATGGCAGGGGCTAGGTCACAGGGGGGTTTTCCAGCCATTATAAGGCCTTTTGCTCTGAGCAAGGTGGAAGCCATTGGGGAGTTTTGAGTTCTGGAGTGACATGATTTAAAGTATGTTGGGGAGGCGGCGGGGGCGGGGGGTGGGGGTCCCGTGGCTTAGCGGTTAAGTGCATGCACTCCGCTACTGGCGGCCCGGCTTCGGAACCCCAGGCGGACACCGACGCACTGTCTCTCCGGCCATGCTGAGGCGGCGTCCCACATACACCAACTAGAAGGATGTGCAACTATGACATACAACTATTTACTGGGGCTTTGGGGAAAAAAGGAGGATGGGCAATAGATGTTAACTCAGAGCCGGTCTTCCTCAGCAAAAAGAGGAGGATTGGCATGGATGTTAGCTCAGGGCTGATCTTTCTCACACAAAAAAATAAAGTATATGTGTGTGGAAATTAGGTAGGTGTGATGAGATCAGATCTGTATTTTAGATGCTTCTCAGGCTGAAGTGGAGAGTACAGTTTTGAGAGGAGTGAGACTGGAGGTTGGGAGACCAGGTAGGAAGCTAGAGCACCCCCTGAGATGAGAGGATGAACCAGGGAACACTGACAATGGTAACTGAGCAAGGGAGACAGAGGCCCTATGGGGTAACCTGTGAAAGAGCAATTTAAGAGAGGGTGACTGGCTTGGTCCATTTCCAGCCTTACATAGACACCTTCCTTAGCAAGGTGAGGCCCCGGGTAGCTGGAACAGTTGGGGGATTAGGTGTCAGTGTAGCACCACTACAGGCTTTGCTGCCTAGGGACTGGTAGTGATTGGTCTGATGGGGATATTGGAAAGGATCAGTTACCTAAGGAACGAAGAGGGGATGATGTCTTTGCAGCAGTGGGAGATGCTAAGCTGAGTTGTGTGTCTCTCTCTGCCCCACCCCCCAGCCCCCAACTTCTGCAGGCACGTCTAACATGTCATTTGAGGAGCTGTTGGAATTGCAGAGCCAAGTGGGGACTAAGACATACAAACAATTGGTAGCCGGAAACAGCACTAAGAAACAAGGTTCTAGACCACCTGTCCAGAATGCATGTGTTGCAGATAAGCACAGGTGAGGAGCAAGGCCTGCCTCAGCAGTTGGAGAATACCTGGGGCTTTGAGTAGGTGTCTGCTTTCTTGGGTGGCAAATGGGAGGCCTTTGACCATGACTAGAGTCCCCTTGACCTGTCCTTTAATTTTTCCATAGGCCTCTGGAAATGTCAGCCAAGGTCCGGGTGCCATTTTTGCGTCAAGTTGTCCCCATCAGTAAGAAGGTGAGAAAAAGGCAGGAAGCACTTTTCTCAGTGAAAGGAGACTGAACATTTCTTTTATAGTCTCTCTATTCTCTCCAAAGGTAGCCCGGGACCCCCGGTTTGATGATCTATCAGGGGAATATAATCCTGAGGTGTTTGACAAAACATATCAATTCCTGAATGACATCCGAGCCAAAGAGAAAGAGGTATACAGCGTGAGACTGGGTTTGGGGGCGGGTGGGAAACTAGGACACAGGTTAGAGTGTCAGACGGGAGCAGGGAGCATAGTGGTGGCCAGATTTAATTCTCTAGTTAATTTAATTTTCTCTGATTTGGTTCTTACATTCAAATTCTGGCTCATCAGTTTACCAGCTCTGTGACCAATTAGCAAGTTACTTAATCTCTCTTTGAGTCTGTTTTCTCTTTTTTTTAATTTTTTTTTTTTTTATTTTTCCCCCAAAGCCCCAGAAGATAGTTGTATGTCATGGTTGCACATCCTTCTAGTTGCTGTATGTGGGACATGGCCTCAGCATGGCCAGAGAAGCGGTTCCTCGGTGTGCGCCCGGGATCCGAACCTGGGCCGCCAGCAGCGGAGCGCGCGCACTTAACCGCTAAGCCACGGGGCCGGCCCTCTTTGAGTCCGTTTTCTAATTCTAAAAAGAGATAATATTAATTCCTATCTCATAGTGTTATTGAGTTAATAATATGTGAACCTTTTAGAATAATGTTTGGCGCACATTTCTGTAACAGCTAACGGTTACAGGATGCTAATGATCATATTCATTTTCCAATGTGGAGCTTGTGAAAAAGCAGCTGAAGAAGCACCATTCAGGGGAGGAGCATGAGAAACTGCAGCAGCTGCTTCAGCGAATGGTGAGTGAGTCAGAATCACAGGTGGGTGGTGAGAGCAGTTCAAGGCAGGAGGTGATTCACGGTTCGTCCTATTCACCCATCTCACCCATCCCATCTTTGCTTCTCAGGAGCAGCAGGAAATGGCACAGCAGGAACGAAGGCAGCAGCAGGAGCTGCGCCTGGCCCTGAAGCAGGAGCGGCGGGGTCAGGCCCAGCAGGGCCATCGGCCGTACTTCCTGAAGAAATGTGAGTGGGATGCAACTGTTACAGGCTGGTTTCAGGGACAGGGGTTCGGTGGCCCTAGTGGCAGTACACTGTGTTAGGGTTGGTCCATGAGCTCCCTAAGGAAGGCATGAAGGCTGGATCCCATGGTAACTTGGAGGAAAGTAGAAATAGCAGGGAGTAGTTATTTGTAACCGTTCTTATTTCCCTATTAGATGATGGGCAGGGAGTGTCAGTTTTATCTCTGTCCCACCCCGCACCCGCACTCCGCCATATGCTGGGCTGGGCACATAGAAGGAGCTCACAGTTGGTTGAATTGAGAAAGAGTGGAATCAGAAAAAGTCAGCTTGCTTACACACCCCAGTGAACTCATGTATCCCAGCATAGTGGTTGAGGATTACTGATCTGGGGAAAGAGAAGAGGGGGGCGCTTCTTCCTTTGCTTACCAGTTTTCTTTCTCCCTGTCCTCTAGCTGAGCAGCGCCAGTTGGCCCTAGCTGAGAAGTTCAAGGAGCTGAAACGCAGCAAGAAGCTGGAGAGCTTCTTGAGTCGGAAGAGGCGCCGAAATGCAGGCAAAGACAGGAGACATCTCCCTTTGAGCAAAGAATAATAAGGAACTGTCCTCAGCTCTGCCACTACCCCAGTGAGAAGTGGATCTGTGGGGACAGACTTGGGCTAGGCCTGTTCTCATTCTTTCCCATTCAAGGGCAAGGATCACAGCCGCTCTTGAACTAGGTTAGTTCAGAGAAGACTAGAGGGCTCTTGGACTGCCCCTGGGACTGGACAAGAGCAGCTCAGCCTTCTGCCTTGCCACACTGCCTCTGCTTGGCTCTGATTCATTATGTCCTCGAGTCCTTCTCGCATCCTTGCCTTAAACCAGCGATTCTGTTATAGAGGGAAAGGGGCCAGTGAGTGGCCTTGAGGCCTATGAAGGCCATGCAGTCTGTCAGTGGCTCCTAGGCCTGGGGATTTATGTAGGAGCCAGTTCATACATATCCTTGTCACTCTTCTTTTTATTATTCAGCTTTTTTTGTCGGGTTTGTGGGTGGCCTAGAACTGCTGTTTTAGTGGGCCATGTGTGGGGGTAGGTAACAAACCTAAGGCTCCTACAAAGTGGAAAGTCAGATGAGAGACTACTCCTACTAAAATCCAGAAGGTGACAGAATCATTTAAAGAGTGAACCAGTCCCACAACTCACCTACTTAGCTTTGGTTTTGGATGCAGAGGGAGGTGGGAAGTGGGGACAAAAGGCTTCCCCAGTAATGTGTAAGCACAGCTGGCTCTAATCCTCTTTGGGTCTAGAATTCATACTACTCATGTGGACTGGAATATCCTCAAGCTGGTAATTCAGTTTAAAGTAGTCTCAGGTTATGGGGGCTTGCCCTGTGGCCTAGCGGTTAAGTGAGTGCACTCCGCTGCTGGCGGCCTGGGTTCCGATCCTGGGCGCGTACCAACGCTCTGCTTTTCACACCATGCTGTGGCGGCGTCTCATAAAGTGGAGGAAGATGGGCACGGATGTTAGCTCAGGGCCAGTCTTCCTCATCAAAAAGAGGAAGATTGGTGTGGATATTAGCTCAGGGCTGATCTTCCTCACAAAAAAATAAATAAATAAATAAAGTAGTCTCAGGTTAGTAGTGCCTCCTGGCAGTGCCTTCTGCCTCCTGGCAGAAACAAATGCATTTCTCTTTTGAGGATTGTATTTTAAGCCCGGGCCTCAAGGGATTCCTTCAGATAAAATTTCAAGGAATATGAGCTTACAGTGAAAACAAAGCACACACAGAAAGAAACCACCATAAACCATAGAGAACAATAGGCGAAAGACGCAGACCAGCAAAGATAGATGTTAGAAGTATAAAATATGAAATATAAAATATTTTGTATTTAAAGAAAAACTATGACTAATGCAAAGAGTATCAAAAAGGACCGAATTGGTTTGATAAGAAGTAAAACTTTTAAAAAGGAAAAATATACTATTTGAAGTTAGAAACTTTATGGTTAAACAGCAGGTTAGACACACCTAAAAGGAGAATGAACTGGAAGTAGATCTGAAGAAGTTACACAGATGGAACAAAGGGGTACAGAGTGATGGAAACTAAGGGAAAGAGGTTAAAAAACATGGAAGATAGAGAAGGTATGGCATATAATCAGAGTTCCAGAAGGAGAGAATATTTTAAAGAGACAGAATTTTGGGGAATTGATAAAATTTATAAACTCTTAAGAGTCAGGAAATCCAATTAATCCCAAGCAGGATTGGGGAAAAAATCCCAAAACTAGATAAATCTTAAGAAATTACAGAACATTAGAAAGACTAACATCTAAAAAGCAGCTGTAAAGAAAAAGAAGAGAGGTGGTGGAATTAGATGGTAGGACACCTGTTGCTCAATGCTTCTGGGATGGGGCAAAAGATTTAGTTTCGATGACAGAAGTGTGAGGAGGAGGATAAAATGCACTTCTCCCAGTGATTGTAAGCCCAGGGCTGCAGCTGCCAGGATAGTTTGCCCAGAGGGAGTGAGGGGCCCTGTACTAGAGTCCCCACCATCACGTGTCAAGCCTACTTTAAACCAAAGCACAGACTGACTGATAAAAGCAGGGAAAGACTATTCAACTGTTAGGCTCACAGAACCACTGAGAAGGCTGGAGAGAAGCTCAAAAAAGAGAGAAGAGCAGCCCAGGAATAAAGTGAGCAGTTAAAGCACTCTATTTATTTATTTTTTCCCCCCAAAGCCCCAGTAGATAGTTATATGTCATAGTTGCACATCCTTCTAGTTGCTGTATGTGGGATGCGGCCTCAGCATGGCCAGAGAAGCGGTGCGTCAGTGCGTGCCCGGGATCCGGACCCGGGCCACCAGCAGCGGAGTGCGCGCACTTAACCGCTAAGCCACGGAGCCGGCCCCAGTTAAAGCACTCTAAATCTGACCTCGGAACCAGAGTGTTGATGTGAAGATGTCACTGTTGCTGCCAAATTACTGCTTTCCCCTGCCTTGCTCTAGATTGAGGAATACCCTGCAGAGGCAGCTGATTAGCTGGGCGTTGGTCACCTGGCTGCAAGGGGAACACTGGGAAAGCAATCTGTCTCTTATATGGTGGGCTCTACCTTCTCTCTAGGTTTGTGGTGAGGAGTTTCCAATGTTGAAAAGGGGGTTCAGATGATGGGTGGTCAAAAAAACATCATGATTGGCCACTACGAGGCTGTATTGGCCCCCAAGCCTTGAAACTGCCATTTTTCTCTTCAGTGAGGACCCAGAGGAGACATTGGAAAGCTCTGAGCATGAGCTATGGATTGGTTTTTGTTTTGTTTTTATTGGTAAAAGCTTCATTGAGATAATAATTCACACGCCATACAATTTACCCAAAGTGTGTAAGTCATTGGTTTTTAGTATATTCACAGAATTGTGCATGCATCACCACAATCAATTTTGTAACATTTTTTGACACCTTAAAAAGAAACCCTAGGGCCGGCTCCGTGGCTTAGCGGTTAAGTGCGCGCGCTCTGATGCTGGCGGCCCGGGTTCGGATCCCGGGCGCGCCCCAAGGCACCACTTCTCCGTCCAGCGCGAGGCCGAGTCCCACGTACAGCAAC